ATATCTTTTTAGCCTTCTTGTTCTTCATCTGTGCTCCTCTACCAGTGTTAACACTCAAAAACAGATGAATAAACAATTTAATTCATCAGTAAAATGTTTTTCCCCTGTGGTTTTGGAGATTGCCTCCAAACATTTTATTTATTGATTAACATGTAGTATGTTGATATATGAGGTAAAATATAAATTAAATGCCAGTGACAGTTAATAATGCTCTTGAGATGAACACAAAGATTGAGGAAATTATACTTGGTTCACTGTCTGTCTCTTAAAGTTCCTATTTTTATCCAAAATGAAAAAATCAAGCATCAAACACTTGTTTGTAATGACTGACCATCTGTTATCCTGGAAAGACCACATTGAACCTCTCTGCAAAAAGATAAAACAAAGAATTTGTTTTTCTTCACCGCCTTAGGTCTTTTGGGACAAGTAAATAAATAAATTTTTCTTTTGTTTTATACTTCTTTGATTATGAGTTTGTCCCCTACTTTAAAGTTAAAAATGCTCTACCAAATAAAATTCTGCTCAAAGATTGTAGACCAACACCTTGAGAAACTCTGTGAATCAGCCTACCATAATCACTTATTAATACTGGCCAACAGTATTGTCTCTGACCCCAACCATGTCCTGAACAGTGAATACAAATTGTTACCATCAAATTGGAGATACAAGGTTCCACTATTTAATAAGGTTAGACTGAAGCACTCTTTTGTACACCAGTCGATTCTATAATTAAATATGGGGCATAATCCCAGATCAGATGCATGTTGAAGGGCCTTGACGATTGTCTTCTGTGATTGCAGTGTTATGTGGTGGTGGCAGTGTTGGTTCTGGTTGTGTGCTTTGATGTGAAATTTTTTTAATGAATTAAAAACAATAAGAAATTCCCTCTTTTTAATAAGAGGGAACATATTGGTTCACTAAGAAATGAATACAGAGGTGGGGTAAAAAAACAAAAACAAAAAGAGCCCTACATTCAACTTAATGACATTGAATAACTGAGCGGATATACACAGGCATGCAGAATCTGCTACTTTGTGTTTATTTAAAACTTATGGTGCTTGCTTGGAAAAAATGTTTTAAATAAAGGCAAATAATTAAGATTTCATATACAGTTAATTATGTTTTCATCATCATCATAAAGTCACTGATTGGTGTGGTACATTATTCTCACTGGTTAATCCACCAAAAACAAGTTTTGCCACCATGTGGCGCTGGGTGCGTGTTCATTTTATTTACACTGGTTGTGCTTTTCTCAGGCCTTTTGGGCCTTTTGGTCCTGCCTGAAACTGGACTGAATACCAAACTGGCTTATTCCAGTGTTCAGTTGCACCATTTCTTGCAATCCTGGAACACTTCCAAAAGCTTTTGTTTTTTCTTGTGCCCTCAATCTTTTTCTCTTTGACTGTGCTTTGACAATGCAGGGAAACATACAAGCGCATCTCGGTAAACACGAGTGATGTGGTTCCAGAGTTTAAAAGCTTCACAGAACACTGGCAGACACAACTTGGGGCTGTTTGTGTGATGGAAAGGAAAATTTGTTTAGAAACTGACAGCACTGTATCTGCGTGTGTGTGTGTGTGTTTGTGTTTGAGAGAGTGAAAAACTGTGTGTATGTGTGCTTATGTTGCTTTTGGCAAGTTATTCATTTGTGTTTTTTTTCTTTTTTCTTGCTCTCTGTGTGGTTATCTTTTGAGTTGGTTGGTTTGGAGCTGATGTCCACCTTCGGGGATGCACATAGCATGCATTTCTGAGTATTTTCACCTGAGGCTGCACTTGTTAGAGTCTGTGGATAAATGTATATACATTATTTATACAAATTCAGGGCGAGTGAAAGCAGGTTTAACACATTTACAGACAGGAGGCCAGGCACTGCAAGCCAAGCTCCAAGTGAGGATTGCAACGCTGTGTGTCGGGGATCGAGCTGGTCTCTTGCTCGGCTGTGACCAGCATCTTTAATGATTCTTCATTTGTTGGCTAACGATTCCATATATTCTTTCCAACTGTACCTGTTAGGAATGTGAAAGTCTTTAAATAATTAATTGCCATAATTACAAAAATCACATTGTAATTTTTTAATAAAGAAATAAAAAAAGTCATATTAACACCAACATTTGTGCTGTTGAAGGTTGTGGGATGAGTGGAGTCAAAAGTTGAGACATTCAATTAAATTTGAATTTCTTTTGATTGTTTTCAATATTAGGCTTGAGCTGAAGACCTTAATTCATGTTAAATCATTTGTTCAACAATAATTGAGGGTTTGATTTTAAAACTATGTAATATCTTACTATTTCATCAAATCATGATTTAAAACGACCTGTTGCAAATATTATTAACTTTATTATTATTAACTAACAAAAGATAAAAATTCGGGTGAAAATTGTATGCAGACATGAGAGTCAAAAGTAGTAAAGGTCAATTCCATATAGAGTAAGACAGGCTTTATCCTACTAAAAACCCTAACTGGATAAGAAAATCTTACTGAATCATGAAGGTAACATTTAAAACAAGACACTGTGATTAAAGACATTTCACCAATTACAAGGGGAGTTTTTTTTTTAAAGAGGAAGAGATGTTTGGACTTCTTACCAAATTTAATGACAAAAGATACTTCAATAAAACCTATAAAAATATTATAATTACAAATATGGCATTCTGTAATTGTAACTGTCTCCTAATATGAAGTGAGACATCTTCTCCCACACCTACCGGTGTATTTTATGACCAGTCTTGTGTTATTACAGTGTAAAGACATTTTGTTTTCCCAGTTTGACTTGACACTCCCCACTTACCCTTCCCTTTCTCCCATTCAGGAGATTCCTCCCTCAAAGGTGGATGCCTTGCCAGCTAGTTGTAGTCTTCACGTTCCCATGGAGCTGGAGTTCAAAGCTTCCTGTTTCCCTCGCAGTCCTGCGCCTCAGAAAAGCTATGGCCTCGTCTACGTTGATTGACCTAGCTGGTGACGGTGATTTCATATTGTGATTCAGTTTTTAATCAGAGTTGGTGAAATATTCTCTTTGTATTTTAGCTGCTTTTTTCTTAACCTTTCAATTTTCTGTCATCTATGATCATTGTAGAGACGCAGGAATATTTGGTACATCTGTGTCCCTGAGTATTGCATACTTTAATTTACTGTTTGTAAGTATTTTCAGTGATTGCTTATTCTGCCTTATATATTAACATTTATTTTTATATGCGCTGAATGATAATGTAAGCTAAATGATTCAAATATAATTTTAAAACCTAATTTCAGTTTAATTTTAGTTTTTTGCATTTCGTTCATTTGTATGTTTTTCAGGGTGTATTCATAGCTTCACTTGCTGTACATTTGCTTGTGAAAGCATTACTGTATATTGTCCAGGTATCTGTGTAGGTAGTACTTCAGTACTTGTGATGCATTAGTGTTAGATACAGATCATATAACTGCAGTGTCCCAGGTTGGATTCAGGTGGACACTTTTTCACATGCCATCTCAGTCTCTCTCTCCCCTGTTACTTTCAAACAAAGGTCCAGAACGGCACTGGGGAAGGTTATTGTACAGCATTTCACCTAATTTCTTGCTTCTATCTATCTACAGAATACATCTGTTCACAGACAAATAAACAAAAATGCAATTCAGCCACTTTTCTTAACATTCAAATAAATAAATAAAAATACTTCCTGATTCCCAGCTGATGCTGGTTGTCAAAACTGGAGTACCTATACTTAAAATTTTGTATCTACAACATATATTTAGGGCGGGAAATAGTTTCATGGGCTTTGCCAACATGCCAATATCAACAGGACATTTTCTCTATGTAATAAAATATGTCTAAATCTGCATATCACTTGGGAATTATTCTCTCATTCCTTCATGTTTTACTATAATGTTATTCAAGGAATGTTGAAATAGCTATACATTTTCTCCCACACAAAAGACACATCTAATGGAACTGGACAGCGTTAGTGTGAGCAGGAAGCAAGAATCTGGTGTTATAAGCATAATAATTATTTATTGAAATATGAGGAAAAATTCAATTAGCCTCAGAGAGACACTCCCCATGACAGGGATAGTGATAAGGGCAGTCAGAATGTCAGCAGGAGGGGCAAAAGTCATAGACAAGCGGGAAGGGAAAAAGCATTTTGATGCATTGGGTATCCATATGTTGACAGTGTTACATGAGCATGTGAATGCACGAAGGTAGTCATTGTTTAAAAGCGTTTATCCTACATAGAAGTCTGTCTTGACAGTTACTCCCTAAGCTACAGGTTGGTTTATTGTAAAGCAAACAGCTGAATTTCAGACCATTTCCTTCTGCGTCCGACAGCTGAAGTGACACAAAACTGTTTCTCCAAGCTTTTACTAAACTTCATCTCCAAACAAACTCCTACTGTGGGTGGAGCAGGACTGCAGCAGTGTTGTTAAACATGCAGTAAAAATGAGACTTCTGCAATGAACACTTTAAAATGCATGACTGTCTTGCCTGCATGTGGTATTAGTTCACCTGTATCTTCTAGGAAAACCAAGGCAGCTGCAGAACCTAAACACATAATTGAAGGAAGTGGGTGATAAAAGATTGTCTGATCAATAGAGACAGTTAATGTGCGTGTGAGAAAATGGAGCTCGGGACTAGGAACTGCTTAATGGACATGGGATTTCAGTGAATTTTCTATACATTAAACATGCCATTGAAATTTTTGATAATTCTATGGCTTAATGAACAAAACGTCGACAAGAAAACAAACACCACAGGTTGTTGTGGGAGGCAAGTGTTGGGACATTTTGAAAATACAGTAACAACAACTACTGTACATGTGGAAAAACTCCACATGAAAATAATTCAGGGTGCCTGTTTTAAGAAAAAATAAAGCCACTTTTGTTCATTTTGGACACAATACTAGAGGTCACAGCTCACAGGGGAAGATGTCGTCTTTGGTAAGCGCCAACTAGACAGAACAATGATGCAGATTGAAATTCAGTAAGAAAAACCGATATGGCACAAACATCTCTCACACCTACTCGCTTAAATACAATAGTCTTTTCATTGTACAGACTTGCATAAACATTTAAAAGATAAAAAAAATAATAAATGTGGTGATCTTTTTCTTTTTCAAAGCCCCTTATTTTGCTCAGACCTGGATCTCTGAACTACTTGTGGAAACAAAAGAAGAACATGCTACAATAAACAAATTTATTCTTGCGTGGACACCTCACGTCATGTAACACATCGATGGAAACCCAGAGACGCAATAAATTATCTTCATTATTAAGCGTAACCAGTGACATACTGTACATCAAAAAGGTTAAAGCAGTGTAAATAAAAAAGAAAAAATTCTACAAAAAGGGTGAAAGTGAAACGGAACCCTTATACAGAAATGCTTAAGAAAACAAATGTTTGAATGCCAGCAGACACTGATAGAAATTAATCTTTTAAGTGTGATTCCTTTTTGATTTTAGTGTCTCACGACATAATTTAAGTACTGCTCGAAACAAATAAAAATAGAACACTGTACACACACCAAAGAAAGCAAACCAGAGGGATGTTTTTTTTTTCTTTTTTTTTTTTTACCATTTCATTGATTTCATTTTTTAGGAAATCATTGCTTTGCAATTTTTGCTTCATCACAGTTCTCTCCCATATGACCACATGAATGTAAACACCTGTTGAATTATTCTTTTTTAGATTTTTACAACATTAATACTTTATATATATATTTGTACATATTTCCATTCACATCTGCACGGTTAGCTAGCATGGTAATGAAATAAGGCAAGACTCACATAACTGTGACATCACAACTCTTTTTTTCCCCCCTCTCTTATAATACTGATTATTAAGGTTTTTTGTAATTTCATTCTTCTGTTCTGCAGCAGGCTTTGGTCTTTCCGGACAAAGGCAGGGTTGATCCTTCTCTGTCTCCAGAATCACACTTTTTTTGTTCCAGTTGTAATGAAATAATAAAAGTGGGGAGGGGAGGGGGTGGGTTTTCAGGAAAAAGGGCTATAAATACAATTGTTTTAGTTGAAACTATTAATTGAATTTATTTAACACTGGTCTGTCTGAGGTACATAGTTTAGATGATTTGGGGAGGTGAAATAAGAAAGGGGAACCACAAGGTGACCATGAGGAGCAAATGACTTCCATTACAAGAGAAAAAAAACATCATATTTTTTTTCTTATTGGCCTATTTATCATGTTGTTCATTAAAGAACTTTTTTTTCCCCCGTCAGATCTCCCTTTTCAGTAAGGTAAAGCTGCCGTGGCAGGCATTTTATGTGAGTTCAAAAAACAGATGTGACCGTAGGTAAGAGTCTCTGGCCCGGTTGACTGCTTGTCCGTTTGTCTTTACAGTACCAACGACAGCTAAAAGCCAGTTTTAGTGAGAGAGCACACCGCAGGATCGGCGACCGATATAAGCCACGGCTCTAGTCACAAAGCTGTCTGAAAGATGGGTGGTGTTGCTCAGCTTCCTTTCTCAGCACAAAAAGCCTCTCACAGTGTCACCAGTGCTAAACCACTCGGTTGTTAATTCTCTAAGTTGCAGCCTGCCAGTCTTGATACACTGTGCTAGTGCAGACGATTACATCCCATCTCGAAGTGTCAAATGCAATGTTTGTTTCAAGTGTCATTTTTCTTTTCAATATTGTCTTGGTGTGGTTGATGAGAAGTGGCTCTTCCTTCAGATTCCTTTTTTTTAATAAAGGTATCCATATGTTGTTTGTGTGTGCACAATACAAAGTCAAGTCTGAGCTGGAGATTCAGTTTGGTGAAAGCGTTGTTTGGAGTTTTTGGACTGCAGCAAAACTGCCAGGATGTCTGCACATCTGCATTATGGGTAGCACAGTCCAGTCCTAAGCTCTCTTGGCGTGTAGCATTTCAATGAGCAGGTTGTTGCAGGGCACGTCGCCGTTCAGGTGTTTGTAGTAAAGGTATTCTTCAGCCTGCAGGCTTATGGCTCGGATCTCTGGCAGCCGGAGGAGCAGCTGGCCAAACTTGTCCGTTTGCTGTGGGTAGTTGCACATGACGTAGTCCAGCAGCGCTGCATTGACCTGCTCCTGGACGCTTTCTACTAGGTGGAAGTTCTCCAGGTTCTTCACATCTACAGAAGGAAGCAAACAAAGAAAAAGTTTGATAAAATGAGACAAGCATGTTTCTTTGACTGCTCTCTTCAACACATAATTGCCTGCAATCTAACATGTGTGGTAGAAACTAGTTCTCTCTGGTAGGTTCATGTTGACTGCAGAAAGGTAGTTTTGTGCACATCCAGTCCTGTGTTTAGGGCAGATGCTTGATATATTGAGGGTAAGTATGAACGTCAGCGAAAAATCATGTGGAGACAACTGCAGGGACCATAATGGTTCACATTTCAAAGACAAAAAGGTTAGACTAATTTGTATTCTCATTTATCAGGGGACGATGCTACAACTTGACATCTTTGGTTGTAGCTTCTTTTTTTTTACTTTAAAGAGGACTTCAAAATGCACCATGCACGCATGATAAAATACCCCCCCCTCCTTGCCTTTTTTTTCTCTGAATCGTCTCTTGAGAATGCGATGTAGAGGGAATCAGGTAAAGGCAAAAAAGGTTCTTCTCCTGAGAGATTCATTCCCCAGGAGTCGATGAATTATGTAGAGCAGAGTTACAGTCATATTAGCGCCAGAGCTGATCCTTAACCTAGCGCCTTCATCATCCTTTATATCATAACAAAACAACAGAATGTGTCGTAATTATTAGGGGGGGGAAATACTGAGATAACGTTTTTTTTAAATCACTTTAACTGCAGGGTGCAATAAAAGCACAGAAATTCATCTTGGAGGATGCAAAATACATTTTGCATCTTTCCAAAATCCTACCTTTACGCGCAGCTTTAAGCACTTTTCCTTGACAATAATAAGCTCACTGGGGGTTTGAGCCGATTACTGCAAGACAAGACAAAAATTTGCTAAATGGATAATGGTGGACCAGAGCGCTGTGTGTACTTGTCATGATTATGAAGCACAGGGCTGCAGAATATTTAATCAGATAGTAGCTCTATGTGTGTGTGTGTGTGTGTGTGATCTTTTATTAATCTGTTTGACCCCAGGTTGAGTGTGCTCACAGTGGGTGAATGAGTCCCTGTGTCTAGTTGACAACTCCTGACCAACACACACACTCGGAGAGAGACACACATAAGCACTAAAACATACTATCTTTCACACCAAATATGTGCCTTTCTCAGACACACACATACACTGACACTAATCTGTGGAAATACACATAATATTTCACTCTCCCACAGTATCCCCTTCACACACACACACACACACAGATCCACCCACCCAGAGCATTAGAAGGAAGGAGGGGGAGATAAATCAGCAGCTAATGAGGTCTAGAGAATGAGAAGCAGGTCCTTCAAGGCACTTCCATCTATGATGCACTCTACCATGCTATTACAATCTGTATGTGTGTGTGTGTGTGTCTGTTCTTGTGTTGCCTGTGTATGTGTGAGCTGGCGTGTAGCATGTGCATGCTCACCCTGACCTCTGAGTGACACAGTGGGGGGCTAAATAAGGCCAAGAGGAGGGCGGGGGGTGGCCTGTGACAAAGACGGCTCCAAACAAACATGACATGTGCTTTTTCCTGCTGCCACTCAGCTGACTGACCCCCTATCCTCTCAAACCGGCTTTTACATCACCAACACCGCAGAAGCATTACTATAGCCTCACATAAGTCTATTCCCTAAACGCTGTCTCAAAGCCGCCTCCACACAGTCAAGATAAAGGTTCTGGTGGCAAAATACTGTCCTTTATAGTGCTGGTAAGGTAGAAAAGATTACTGTGTATCAAACCTAAATATATCCTGAATACCTTTTAAGAAAAGTGTTCCTTCCTATCAAGTATTAAAAGTCATATTAGACTTGTTGACTTGTTCTTTTATGAGATACATTTTTATGATTTACATCAGATAACTTTTTAGATGTTATACTATATATGGTTTATGCAAATTGCTATTTACCATCTGCACACAGTAGTTTGATATATTTTGTAATATACATTTAAAAAAATTAGTGTCATAACATGTTTATCCCAAAAGTTTTGTGTGGGGTCAGATATCAATGCCCAGCTGTAATTCTTTTGGATTTTGATTTTGATTTAAGTAAATCCAGTGTAAACCTACTGGAATCATTCTATAAAATACCCATCCTGTATAGGTTTTTAATTGTAGAACACAAACCTGCAAGGCTGACTCATAATTTACTTTTTGGAATACAACATCTGTTGTTGTGAGGAATAGTTTCTGCCATCATTGTTACTAGCCATAGTGTCTGACCACTTAATATTGGACATTGATTAAAGGGGGAAAATCTTCAAATTCAAGGCCCAACTAAATGTCTGAATTGATTAGATTGTATTAGGGGACTTACACTTACAATGTGACGCTACAAAATTGTGCCACACAGTATCTATGAAAGATAATAAGGTATATTTTAGGTATGAAAATGATTTCATCTGTAAAATCCTGTTATGTGTTATGTAATACAAGTAAGGGCAAGTATGTTCTGCCGTACAGACACTATCGATAACAAGCATCTCATGCAGCTTAATAATCAATTCAGGGATGTCAGAGCGTCTTCTGAATTTGGTTTATTAATTATTTTGGTTAATTCTGCAGCAACTGATAAGGTGAGCCCAGATCACAGCAAAAACATGTGAGGTGTTGCCAAGGTTTCTCCGAAAGATTTGTCTGTGTTCGTGTGTATCTGCATGAGTTTGTATGCATGTGGAGAGGAGTTTGATGGGTGTATGTGTAGATGTTGGGTGGGGGAGGGTGGGTGCTACAGAGAATTAATACCCAATGTCTCTGTCAAGCTAATTAGGGGGAAAGTGAGGCAAAAAGATAGCATTTTAATTGCTAATTATTATCAGAGCCTCTTTTGAAAAAATAATAAATGAGGGCTTCAAAAAAAATGACAAATGACAATAGTTTGATATCTACTGCCATTTGTAAAACCAGTGGGCAAGTGAAAAACCAGACAAAACACTGAGGTGGATGAGAAATGTTTCTTAATTTTATTGCTAATCAAATCAGACAAGTGTATTGATTCTAATTTACTGATCATTAAGACAGGAGAGGGATGATGAAGGAGTGAAAAGGGTTAAGAGGGAAATGAAAAAAACAAACAAAAAAATCAACAATTGATCAATGATTCCCAGACAGTGTCAGGTCGGAGCATTAAGTGTGCTAAGCGCTCTCTCCTCTTCCTTCAATGCTGCCCCCCCCCCCCCCTTCTCTATTTCTCTCTCCATCTCATTGTTCAGTCACTGTGGGACTAATTATCAACTTTTTTTTTTACATAAAACAGCCACAGTTCGTTGCAGCGCCGCGTCTGAATACTCAAATGGAAACCCCGAGGTCCCACGGAATACATTGTTTCATTTGACGGGCGATCATGCTGAAACCAGCAACCTAATGTGAAAGCACACACACAAACACACACATACACATTCATTCTTTCTTACACAGAACCCCTGAAATTACCACTGTGCTTTTAATTAGGCTAGATCTTTGCTAGGAGTGTGTGTGTATGTGTATGTGCGTACGCATGCACTTTTAACCGGCCCTTACAATCAACCTGCTCCAGGGACACACACGCTCACTGGACATTCACTCATGCAAATACTCGCTGTATTATTTCACTCTGATCTCAATAATGCCTCACAGAGTGGACACTTGGATGTGAAAAAAAACTTATAAGAAAAATAAAAAGCATCACATGGTGTCAAAGGTCACCCTTCTCTGCAAAAAGCAAACAGGCATCACTTTGTTTATGGCTGTAAGAAGCCAAATAAGTAGAAAAAGACTACACTGTACAGTAAGGCAGGCTGGTAATAGATCCTATTGGGTAAGAGTGACACTTATACAGTATACATCCATCCATCTAATATAAAAGGAAGAAAAAAGAAAGACATAAATGATTGGCCACATGAGATGTTAAGTTGCATTTGCTTGGATGTAATCCTTTAAAACTACTTTTGTATAGTTGTGTTTACTGAAAAAAACTCTGACTTAAGAAAGTCTTGGTGTAAGTGGGAATTCATTATGACGTGTCAAACAAACCATACACCCCCTCCACCCCTTTATTTTCCATCATGATATTTCTTCATCAAACTATCACGCATTTCCAATCATGTGTTTTTCATTTGAGACACTGCTATTAGGGTTATACTGTGCATGGCAAAATGACACCATGCTCTCTCACATTACAATTTTAGTGCCCCAATCAGTAATCCTCTCAGTCACATGCTGCCAATTCACTCTGCCTTTCAAACTTCACTACTTTCCTGCTGGGTCCAAAAACAACACGTAAAACTCGGGTCATCAACGGTTATTGAGTCAAGTGTTGTCAGTAAACCTGGCCAATTAAACGTGAGCGGAGGACAAACTGGTCACTTCCTGTATAGGTGGGAGTTTGGGGCTTGGCTATTCCAATAGGGACTTCACAGTCGCTTATACGAGCCTATCAAAGCTGAAGCGCCTTTTACTACTGCCGCAGTGCTTCAAAGAGCGAGTAGTTGTGCCCATATCCAGACCAAGTCCTCTTTATTGCACACTGCTGGATTGTTATCAAGTCAACAATGTCCACCGCTACTCCGCTGATATTCATTATTAATCTCTCTCACAGCTTGGATCCAATCAGAGACAGGGGCGTTGAAAGAAGCGAACCCAATAACCTTGGGTGGGTTGAAGGGACCAAGTGAGGGCTAAGGACCGCCTACAATAAGCAACATGTAGAGCTACGTGGTCACTGGGATAATGTGACTGTGTTTGTGTATGAGTGGTGTTAAAAAACAGGGCAGCAAGGCCAATCAAAGCAAATAAGGTTCTCGGGGCAAGGGGCAATGACCGCATGGTTAGCAGTATCACTTAAGTAGGCTATTATCTGAGTTATGGTGCACTGCCCTGATACATAAACTAGGCTTTGTGTTGGGAGAATAGCAACCTCCTTTACCCCCCATCCTATCCTACACACCACCATAAAGTCATGAAGTACACAAACACACACAGTACAGCTACACACACACTCACCTCAGCTCCCATCAATACTCCACTGACAGCATT